CGAAAAAAAAAACATTACAACGAAAAAAAACACTAATATTCGTTTAAATATTTCTGCTCAATCTTCGCCTTCATTTTTCGGAGTGTCTCCAACCGTCTCGGTGGCAAATTCTCCTCGCTAGTTTGAAGAATTGTCAAATCTTTCGCAATGCGATCTTCCTCGGCTTCACGACGCAGGAACTCAAAATGATCCTGTTGCAACTCATATCTTTTACGCGCGATTTCGTTGTGCTCGTCAAATTTTTGTTTCATTTCAGCTTGCTCTCGACGTCTACTTTCGGCTTCATCTGCGTGTCGTTGAGCACGCCTCGCTTTGTCGCGGCCTATCGGTCGTCAAGGCGGGGAGATCTCTTCAAGTTCATTCAAGTCGTCCGATATCTCATCTGTGTCCGCATTGAGGTCGATGTTCGTACGTGCGTCCGAAACATCGACTGAACCCGATCCGCACGACCTCTTCGATTGTTGTTCTGTAAATGTGTTCGTTTTATTCCACTTTGGGTCATCCTTGACAATCTCCCAATTTTTTTCGTGCTAAAAAACATGACCAATCTCGACATGATATTGCTCCCTCGCCACTCTATAAATGTCAAAATCGGTCGCACCACTTTACTTGTGCGAGGAAAGTTTGTTGTAGACGGAATTGAACTTGGTGCACTTCTTGCTTATTTGAGTTCATTTGCTACGCAACATGTCGTGATTGCGGTACTTTTCATCTTTATTCAAAATGGTACGGAATTTCCCGATCACGGCTTCCCAAAAAGCAACTATTCACATATCGTTTCCTTGCGTTGGATTTTTTGATGTCCCGCACCAAGCCACCTCCAACGCGTATTCCTCCTCCGCGGTCCACCATGTTGGAGGTTCGTCTTCCGATTGCTCCACCGCAACCGCTTTCCCTTTCCTGCGTACTCTCCCTTTGTGGGCCGTTTTTTTCCGCTCCCCCCGGCTTGCGTCTCGGGTACAGTTTGTTGGGTGGGTTGTGGTTGTGTGATATTTTGTTGCGTTGTAGCAAATGGGTTTAAAAGGTTTTGTGGAAGGGTTGTAGTGAATTGTGGTGGGGGTGAGGCATGATTGAAAAAGTTGTCTTGAGTGTTGATGATGTTCGCGTACATTTCGTATTGTGCAAAACCAAGAGGCGGAGGTGTATTTTTGTTTGGAGGATGAGTGTTGGGGTTTTGATCCATAGTAAGGAAAAGAGAATTTTTTTGAAGATTTGAAATTAAAAGGGTTTGATGTAGGACTGTAGATAAAAAATAAAGGTTGATGTATATGTATATATATAGGTGTAAAAGAGGTAAAAAGATTGAAAAAACTAATTTTTTTTTTAAGTTTTTGACCGTTTTACAACGGTTGACAATCAAAAAATGTGGCCATTGCAAAATAAATTTCGATCGAAAAATGCCCGTTTGCATCCGTTATCATCGCAACGCCTAGTAACGTAACGTGGTATAACGGCTTAGGGGGGCGGTGTGCCAGCCGTTATACCGGCGTTTTTTGATGGCCATGTCAGCTTAACGCCAAAGGGCGTTGCCCACTCCGAGCGGTCTTATATAATTACCGATGTTTTAGGACGTTAAGGTTATTAGCAAAAATAAATCTTTTCAATAAAAATCATAATCTATACTTTTATGTTTCAAGCTTCTTAAATATAAGACAAATATCATCTCAAATGTGAAGAGAATAATATAAAAGAAGAGTAATAATAATAGAGAAAAAACCCTAAAAAACAATATGTACAGAAAATTTTGGGTCACCAAAAGTCGTCGTCGTCCTCAACCTTTGTCGTCTTCAATGATTCTTTATTGTAACCAAAATCTGACTTAGCTTGATGCTCACATCTCTGAAGATTTTTTGTTGTTGTCGATGGTTGTTTTACCAGTTCTGCCCATCTCCGCCAAAACCTTGTCAATTCCGACAACCGGAGATCAGCCTACCGCCTTATTCTCTACTTTCTCCGGTGAGTTAATCTTTGAAGTATTAGCATATGCTTTTGTTTTCTGGTGTTATTATTTGATGTATAGAGATAAAATAAGTTGAATGTAAAGCAACTATTACCTATGAGTCAAAGTCTATTTATTACAAAGTAGAGGTACTATAACAGGTTATGACTTTGTTTATTAATTTAATATATCTTTATTTATTTATTATTCTATGTGATTTTTTTATTTAATTACTTTTGAATATGTGTATTAATCTGGTTATGACTTTGTGATAATTATGTTTCAAGATATACTGTTAAGATTTAAAAAAAAAACAATAGTGAAACAAGCTATTTATCTTGTTAACTGTTAGGAAGTAAAGCAGATAACTTGCAAAACTAAAAGAAAACAAGACATAAAATTTATGTGGTTCGGTCAAGGTGACCTACGTCCACGGCCAGGAGGAGAGTATTCTTTAGTTATGAGTTCTCAAATAGAGGTTACAAGTACAATTTTCACAGAGATGCACCAAACAGTCTAGAATTTAAGATAAAAATGACTTAACATGCATCCTTATTTATACTTGATGGATCAAACCTAAAACCCTAATGGGGTAAACCTATTGGCCCATAGGGCCATCAACCAATCACAATCTGCCATGCAACATCTTCTGGAACATTCATTCATGCATGAGCATTAACAACACACATGATGGAGCATAATGATCCATAGTGGCATATCATGATGCAAGAGTGACACATCAAGATCACCATGGCATATCAACCATCATAGTGGTGCATCAAGCAATAATCCTTAAGCATCTTCAACTTTTGAGTCTCCTTGAACAATATTGAGCATCATAGGGCACTTCATAGCAACGACTCATCAAGGAACATAAGTGGCGTATCCTTGCAATAAGATGGCACATCAACATGAGAATGTCGCTTCTTGTGCAAGGAATTACGCTTCTTCTCAAGGGATGACACTTCCTCTTTATGAATGACGCTTCTAGAACCATAGTGGCGCTTCTTCCTTTAAAGTGGTGCTTCTTCCTCCAGAATGGAACTTCTACCTCCAGAATGGCACTTCTAGAACCATAGTGGCGCTTCTACCTTCAAAGTGGCGCTTATTCCTCGAGAATGGCATATCTATACAATGAGTTGCGCTTCCACATTATGGATGGCGCTTCTACATCCATAATGACGCTTCAAGCATAAGTAGGGCATCCATGCACCAGGATGCTCCATTCCACTTCCAGGTGCTTCATACCCCCTTTTAGAAGATTCGTTCATTTGTTACTTTATCCGTTCCTTTTTCAGGAGATCCATTCATTTCTCAAATGATCCGTTCCTTTGTCACATGCTCCATGAACCCCAAGTGTTCCATTAAGTTCCAAGTGCTCTAAATGCTCAAAATGCTCGAGTCACATTTAACATTAACAATTGAAGGACATTCAGTAGTTGTGTTTAGTTTAGTTTGATCTAAGGTATTAAAGTTATTAGTACATTTATCTTGGATAATACTATTGACAATTCGAACTGATAATTAACCAAATAGAAATTAAATATCCTCCTACATTTTCTCTTATATATCTTCCTATACATATTAAATGATGACATATGTCATTTTTAATGAAAATAAAGTTATTTTAATAAATTTGTGTGACACAGGTCACCATCTAAGATGGGTAGGAGGATATATAATAAGAAATGTAAGAGGATATTTAATTACTCCCAACCAAAAAACTTTGACATGTTTATCTCGGCATATCATTAAAATTGGACACCTATAAATTTGAATCTTGGATTTGCCACTGTATATAACTTTAAACATTAAAAGTCACTTGTCACATAGTTAGGACAAACCTTAAACCTTATGTCATGATTATCCTTGGTTGGTGTTATCCAAATTTAAGACAATTAGCCTCAGTGACAAAGTTTGTATCATCAACTATTGTATTTGTATTGGAGTAGGGATGATCGTGGGACGGAACCGGTACCGACCCGTACCGTTCCCGATTTCCCGAAAACCGAATTTTATTGAAAGTCAATCCCGAGTACCGAACCGAATTAACATCACCGGTACCGGTACCGGGAATGACACCGGTTTTTGGTACTAGTACCGATACCGGTGGTACCGAATCCCGAATTTCATGTATTTGGAGTACCAAGTACCGTCCCATATTTTCAAATTCGGTACGGTTCGGTACCGGTTCCGGTACAATACCGGTACGGGATCGGGATTTGGGACAAAATGCTCATCCCTACATTGGAGAGGGGCAAGTTTAGGTTAGAGATATGCGAATTTGAAAGAGAACATCATGATAACGAATAATTCATTGAATTACTTTTGTCGAAAGTGATCTAAACTGTGTATAACAACGATGAGAAGTAGATGAGTGATGAATGAATGTCCAATTAAGAAAAAAAAAATTCAAATTAGTATCAAACATTTTATTTCAAATTACATTGATATTTTTTGAATTATTTAAAAACTTTAATGATGTTGAGGTAAAAGAACTTAATAATACTTTTTAAAGAAAATTAAAACTTTATTAACTTCCTTAAACAAACTAAAGTAAAAAAGCATGGTTGTGAAAATCGCGATCCTGATCTAGGATCGTACGATCCTACGATCCTAGGTATGAAAAACGATCCGGATCGTAAAATGATCGTATTTGGGGTAGGATCGCAGGTAGGATCGTAAGATCGTAGGTATGATCGTAGGATCGAGATCCGATCCGATCCTACCTTCCCTTGATTTTTTTTTTTTCAAATAATTTTTTTTACCACTTTATGTCTTTTATCTTTTACTAATCTACCATTTATCATTTTTTATTGTGACTTATGACTAATATTTTGAAATTTTTATAACTTTTGAATGGAAAATTAAATGTTTGAAATATTTTTTATGATTAAATATTATAAATTAAAATTATATTATATTTTCGGGGATCTTAGGATCTCGATCCCGATCTTATGATCCCGATCTTGTAAACCCAAAAACGATCCTAGGTAGTATCCCGATCTTGACAACCGTGGTAAAAAGTTAAAAATCAAAATCAGGATCATCCCTTTTGCAGCCCTAGGGCCATTTCTAGTTGGGAAGCCTATAACACAGCGAAGGATTCCAATCATTCCATAAGGTAAAGTGAAGTGTCCGGAACGCCGACGACTCCTTCCCTGGAGGAAGTTCTTGTTACGCGAAAGACTAACGAATTCCTTGTAATCGGTTATTTTGTGTGTACAGACGTTTTAGTTTGTTGGTTTGAAATGGAAGTTGTCGGTGCACCGATCCGAGTTCAATCTATTGCAGAGAAGGATCTAAAAGTGGAGGTGCCGCCGCAGTATATACAACCGCTGGAGAACCGACCTAGCAAGCCGAGTAACGGAAACGCCACTGATCATAAAATCCCTATGATCAACCTCGGCGGCGATAGGGATGTGAACCTCCTATGTAAAGAGATCGGGAGCGCATGCACAGAGTGGGGCGCCTTCCATGTAATTAACCACGGTGTTTCTACTACGCTGCTGGATCAAATAAGGAAGGTCGGATCCTCCTTCTTTGAAGACTTTCCGATGACGGAAAAGCTCCGGTACGCCTGTGATTCCACTTCTCCTGCTTCTGAAGGCTACGGAAGCCGCATGCTAGTTGCCTCCGATGATGCAGTCCTTGACTGGAGAGATTACTTTGATCATCACACTTTCCCTCTTTCTCGTCGTCATCCTTCTCGGTGGCCGCATTTCCCTCCAAATTACAGGTTAATCATCTATTATCTAATCTCTATTTGAGTATTTTCCTCCCCCTTGGGAATTAGGGCTTGAATTGGGTTCAATTGCATATGTGTTTAACACGAATGTCAAAATATACTTGCTATAGGGAAGTTATTGGGGAATACAGTGATAATATGAAAGTCCTTGCTCTGAAACTTTTGGGCTTAATCTCCACAAGCTTAGGCTTATCATCTTCCTTCATTGAAGAATCCATGGGAGAAGTATACCAAAACATCACCGTGAGTTACTACCCATCATGCCCACAGCCTGAGCTTACACTTGGCTTGCAATCTCACTCCGACATGGGATTCATCACCCTTCTCATTCAAGAAAACGTTGCAGGTCTTCAAGTATCCAAGAATGATGATTGGGTCACTGTAGATCCTGTATCTCATGCCATCTTTGTGATCTTAGGTGATCAAACAGAGGTATTAGGAACTATAATATTCTCATCTTTGTTTATCATAAGTTTTGAGTGTTTGATCATGGTTGTTATTTGCAGATCATAACAAATGGAGTTTATAAGAGCGCTGTGCATAGGGCCATAACAAATGGTGAAAAAGCAAGGCTTTCAGTTGCTACATTCCATGATCCTGCAAAAACAGTGTCAGTGTCACCAGCACCAGGATTGCAGCCACCTCCCAAGTATCATGAAGTTGTATATGGTGATTATGTTCAATCATGGTATACAAAAGGTCCAAATGGTAAAAGGAACATTGATGCTCTCCTCATTTGACATAACATCTGTTAATCTTGATGGTAATTGTTGCTATGTTTGGCAATATCTGGTTGAATGTTCTTGGATGATGCAAGTCTTTCATAATCTGATTCAAAATTTATCTTTCAATGATGCAAAAAAAAAAAAAAAAAAATGATGCAAGGCAACATTGATCCCAAAGAAGAACCCTCCCAACTTACTTACATGGTACCCATCTTTCTAAACTCTCTCAATTTTGTTAAAAAATAAATTAAAATCATTTAATAAATTGCAAAATAAATACATATTTATACATATAAAGACGGATGTCTATGAACAAACAACAGAGAAGGAACAACTATGTGCTATTGTGTGACAAACCAATGATGTGTCAATCGAGTAACAGTGTGGCAAATATTTTTTTTACTTTTAGAGTTTAGTTTTTTAATCAAACAAATGACAAATATACTGAAATTTATGATTTTATATGTTTTAACAATAAACATACATTTTGACATAAACTGTTGACATGTTTCACTAAAATTATCGTTCCTACTTTAGTTCACATTTTTTTTACTAGTCATAAACCTTTGAATACTTCATTTTCTTCTTTTGTACCCAACATTTCTTCTTTTCTACAAGATGTATGTATATAGATTTGGTGAGAAGTACAAAAATAACAAAAATTGTACCAAGTAATCATGGTCCTTAAAAAAAATAAAAAAATAAAAAAATCATCCAATAGTCATGATAGTTAGAGATCAAACTCGGTTTTATGTCCAATTTGTATGCAAGCTCCGAAAGTAAATTTTCTTACTTTCGTTGGGTGTGAGGTTGCGATTACTTTGTGGTCAAAGGTTGGTGTTTGGGGGGATTTGACAATTCCTTTGTATTCGCATGTTAGAAGACATATTTGTCTAGGTGGATTCATGCACTATTCCGGCTTCCAAAAAGCTCGTTTTAGATGCTATTATCATGGTGTTATTATTGGTGATTTGGAGGTATCGCAATAATATATTTTTTGGTGATAAAAGAATTATCAAGAATGTGTTGTTTGGTTTGATTTAAAGTTGATCGTTTCAATGGATCGTGTATTGGAATAGTAAGGCTAAACATAGCTGGATTTATTGGTTAAAAACCCCAATTATGTGGTGATTTTTGTATTTGGTTTTTGCTAGCTTTGTCTAGCCGTTTTAAATTATATAGTATCACGTCTTTGCAAGATTAAAAACAAAAATGTGGGAGCTAAGGTTTGAAGTTCTGTTATACACGCACTTTTCCACTGAGCCAAAAGTCTTGGTTGCTATTAAACCCCTTTCATTTTTTATATAAACAAAACTTAAAAACATATCTTATCTTTACTATCTTATAAAAGAAATCCTACTATTTCTAAAAATAGATTTAATATAATAATATTATTTTTTTAAGACGTTCAAGTTTTTAAGCTTAAAGTACAACTAACCATCAATAAAATAATAATATATTCTTATAAATCTACTCTTTAAACTAAAGTTACAATTATTCTATGCATATACCTCTTTACCCGATCTTTTTACTTTGATTAAGTCAATCTCAGCTCCTTTATATATCTGATTTATAAGATAACTGTGAGATTCAAATTTGTAATCCCCAACTTTCATGCCCCTGTATCGGTTCCCTTCCCGTATATCTCCCCTCCTCTTCTCTACAACCTCCTTCAAGCTAAATCGTTGTAACTGTTAAGCTTTCTTTGGTGCTAGCCACTGCCATCGATTTAGAAAAAAGGTAAATACTTTGTTTGCCTCCATTGTTTCCGGCAACCACGAACTTTAATGTTTTGGTTGACAACCGTCGAACACACAACTTCATATATCTTGTTGAAAACCCTACTCCCCATACCAGAGGAATAATAGTCGTAAAACATAGGGATGGCTAGAATCAAAAGTCCTCAACCACACTGTTAACCTCTTTCACACATAAATCTCCAATCTTGCATCTATTCTATAATTTTCTAGGCAACAACCTCAAATATCTCTCCTATCTTCTACTACTTTCCCCCAATTCAAATATTGTGTTTTTTACTCAAAATCTCAGAATGTAAGTTGATTATGTTTTAAAATAAGGTATCATCTGCTCTCCCTCCCAAAACCATTTTCTTGTACACCACCTTTCTCTCGATCTTTTTGTGTTTTTTTTTGGTTAAATACGTAGATTTGCAGTTCATTTATTGTGTGTTGTCTATAGAGAATATATCATCAAAGGTTTATTTGTAACTTCTTTGATCGGTTAATGTTTATGAAGTTTTATTTCTCTGATTTTGTCGTTCTCTCAGATCTCTGTCTCAATAAGAAAAATCCTAAGTTTTTGTTTTTGTTTGATGGTTGATTTATGGTGAAGATGGCTGGAGATAGGAAAATTGGGGTTGGATGATGGAAATACATATGAGGTGACTTTTATGATTAAACTTGTATATTTTACTTCTTATTATTCAAAGGAAGGAACCAATTGAGGTAAGTTTACCACGTTAAAACACACCTTTAGTATGATTGTTGTCTAATCTTTGACTGATAGTGAGATTAGATATGAATTGTTTTGCCAAGATACAAGTCAAGCTTTCATATGAATTATTTATTCCTAAAATTTCCAAAAAAAAAATCAAATTGGGTTGGACATAATGATACTTTTAAGCTTAATTCATGATATAAAGTTTTAAATATGTATGCCTTTTAGACCATCTTTTTATTTTATAGATGAACCAATCACTCAGTATATTGCTTTTCGGTTATTTATGTAATACATATTGATATTCCTTATTAATTTATTTCTTCATTGATTATAACATTTGTCTTTCATGATTTTAGGTCCAATAAAGAAAGTGAGTTGAAAGACGGCTCCACCGTAGAGAGCTTGGATTTTGGTTGTATTAGTTATAATATTCTATAATCTTTCACAGATTTTATCTTATAGCATCCTACGGGAAATTTATTTTGTTTAAAGGAATCGTTGCTTCATTTACAAGGTTAACTTCAAGGATAGGAGTGCTCATATAATAGTTAGCAGGACAGAAGTACCACTTGGGGGCAACCTTGACAAAAGGTATATCAAATGTTCTTTTATTCCACATTCCATGATGATTTTAAGATTGTTTCTCCTTTTTGTCCCTAAAATGACTTTTCATCAGGTTCTCTAATAGAAACTATTATAACAAGCCCCTGGAAATAGGCATTGCATATATTTTATCAGCCTGACATGGACATATCTCACTTTCTCTCATACACACATGTTTACTATGAAGAATATTAAAGATGGTCTTATGTCATTTATTGTTTTTATGTCATTTTGTAGGTTCATATAATCTACACCCAGAGTGGGAAGAAGTTTTGTATAAAATCTGGTCACAAGGGCTTAAATTCGAAAATTAAGTAGAAATGGTTATTATGAAACGAAAAAATTGATTTATGTTATCTTCATGGGTAATACAAATTTAGTTTTTAGATTTATCTTGGTGATAACTGACTAATGTGTTTTCTGATTGCACAGGAGTGAGATTTGGAAACTCTTAGATGTCAAGGGTAGAATTGTCCAAAATGAGAATTAAAAAGAGCTTGGGAGTTGGGATTTTTATGGCCATGAAAAATAAAATCATGGCAGCAAGTTTCAAATTTAATTTATTTATGGATGGAGATGTCAAGGGCAGGACAATTTTAAGCTATGGAAAGTACCATCGTTTGTTTATTCTAACATATTTCTTTCATTTTTCTTCTATTACGACATTCTACTTTTTTTATTTTTTTATTAAGGCATTCTACTTTAAAAATCCACCAAATTATAAAATTTTACTTTGGATTAGTCTTGGGACATTGTGATGTGGATAATTGAGTGGTGAAATCTAAAAGATGTTTTGAATCCATTCACTTCAAATTTTAATTAGACGAAACAATTATTTGTTGTTCAAACCCGCATTAAAATCCTATTTTGTTGACCCTAACACTTGATTCTTTTTGCGTTTTTAATCATTTTAACAAGTCGATAATCAGTTTAGAAACTTTTTAAAAGCATCCAATTTGAAAACTTCCAAGTCTTAAAGTTTCATGTGGGATACAATGTATATATTACTTAACTTCCTACAAACTAATAAAAAAATTCAACTAAAATCAATTTCGAGACTTAAACCTTAAAAGATTTTGATGAACCTTATTCATAGTTAAAGATAAAAATCCTAACTGTTATTATCATTCATAGTGAAACTCGAATGTTATTATCATTTTGAAGACTCAAGCTTTTGAAAGAAAAATAGTACAAAATTGGTAGCTTTTTTCGAGAATTACCAATGTCCTTTTAAGTCTCGCCAAAAAACGCTTCATGTTTTGTAAAAGTTACTTGTGGGTGAGCATTTTTCGGTTTAAACCGCAAAATCGTTTGAACAAAACGTCAATCAGATTTTCAGGTTTTGGTTATTCAGGTACGGTTTGGTTTTTGGGTTGGCGGTTTCCCAGAACTAGGATGTTTGGGTTGGCGGTTTCCTTAAACGTGATGTATGTATGATCCTTTGTGTGCGGTTTTTTTTTTTTTTTTTTTTTTTTTTTTTTTTTTTTTTGTGTTGAACACACTACCTACAACCACCATATATGCCACATAATCTCTAAAAACTATTCGCCGAAAGGAAATTAGCGTGTTGCACGCCGCATGTGTATCCTTGTTGTTGCAAATTTAGATCGTATTGATTAAAGTTAGATACACGCTTTTGTTTTTGTTTTTTTTATTCAAATTGGCCAATTTTAAAACACGGTAAAATTAATTGTTGATAGAATATGATTTAAGTGTGACATTAACAAGTGTGATTTATTGAAAAATTTAAAATCGTGAGTTTAAATCAAGGTTCTAAAAAGCTCGCCATGGCGCACCATGGCTCCAAGACTTGTGTCTGCCGTAAAGCTTTACCAAAACGCCGCCTTAACTCATATATGTATATAAAATAGAATAATATTTGAAAATACATACAAAAATATTAATTATATACAAAATTGCCGCCTTAAGTCACGCCTTACAAACAACGTGGCTCGCCAAGGCTCGGAAAAGCTTGAGGCTTGACATTGCCGCCAAATCACGCCTTGCGTTATTTAGAACATTGGTTTAAATTCATAAACAAAATTGTTTTTTGCTTTCCAAAAAAGATTTATGATGTCCTTTTTGTAAAGTTTTTAATTCCAAAAAATTTTAGGTATTGTTTCATCTAATCTTTTACATGAATATTTTTTCTTCAAAATCTTATATATTTTTTTTAAAAAATTGCTTCGAAATTGTCGACTCTCCGTGACAAGGTTTATACATCAATCATGATCGGTCATCCACAAAGAAAATCAATAAACAACCTCATTAACAACATACCATTTCCAAGTTCATATTACGTTATATGAAAAAAAATGTTGTTACATACAAGTGAAACTAAGTAATTTTTTCTGCATTTAGCCAACTTTTAAAATATATAAAAATAAGTATTTACCTAAAGGTGCACAATTGTCTAATTTGTATACATGTTATATCTGAAAGTCCGGTTTGGATGAAAGTTGGATCGGTTTCTAAGAATGTGGTTCGATTTGATCAAATCAATTAGTTTTAGCCATTTCATGTGGATAACTGAAATATGATGTTTACAAACTAACCGATAAAAAATAGTCATGAGAATATATGTATAAAAAGTCATAACTATCACTTTCTAAAAACTTTTATCACTTAATGTAGACCATAACATCTCCATATTAAACTCCTAACATAGGATCACACCACTAACAACTATAATACTAATGTTAGTCACACCCTAAACCAAAAACTAAAAATTCATAACACAACCCTTAAGGAAACTATTTTCCAAAATATCATACAATGTATGTTCCTTTAATATGTCATGTTTCCGAAATGGAAATTAGTTGTAAAAAAGAAACTATTCGCTGAAACAAAACTATTAACCGCCCCTCTATAGCCGCAAGAAAACTATTCACCAAAATGACCGCCAAAAAACTATTCGTCGCCGCACCTTTGCGCGGGTACACGACTAGTTATCTTATGTATAAATACATATTATAGATGTATAAAGAACATATACAAAATATGTATTTTTACATCAAATGAGTTTTATAGAATTTATTTTAATTAATTTATAAATTGTATTTTACAAAAAGATAACTTTTTAAATACATACAAAAATGCATTTTATGTAAAACAAAAAAAACATATTTTTATGTAAAATAAAAAAAAAATCAAACTTAATATAATATAACATATTATATGAAAACGTGTTTTATAAATATATTTGATGTATATTTGCATACATATGTTTTATGTATTTATAATACATAATAGCATATTATATGAAGGCATAAATACATAAAAAGAAGATACAAAATGTGTTTAAAAACTTATTCTTTTATAAGTACATTAAATTTTGTTTTTTAATAAAAATAACATTTTGTGTAAAAATAGGTATTTTGTAATTTTGTTATGTGTATATATGTTTTAAATATCTTAAGGGAAAATATTCAAAATCAATGTTCAGGCTCAGTGGCTAAAGACACATTCCTAACGCTATGGGGAGTGGAGTGTGGTAAGAATGAGGTGATGCTTATGTGTCATAGTGAACACCGTCCCCCTATGCAGTTTGGGAAGTGCGGTTTGAGATGTGCGGCCAAAAATGGGAACGCTCATCTCTCTATCTCACTCTTCCTCCCTCCCTCTATCTCTCTTTTCTTTCTCTTTCCTCTTTTCATGGTATATCATTCCTTGTGTGGTAAGGGAATTTGGCAAAATGAGAGAGTGTGACACCACTCCCTCCAGCCTAACAAGTGTGAGTTTCACACTTTGAATCCTGCCGCAACATTCTTGTGTCTTTTCTTTTACCTTCTAATTTTTTTAATTGAGGCTAGCGTGACGATGTACTCAACAGCCAGCATACCACGTAAGCGGTTGAGTCCCACCTATGCTCGCCATGTCAGCGGTAACCTGGTCTCCTACTAAAACATAAGTAATGATTTCTTTTTATGAAAATTAATAGGTTAAGTTAAAAAACTTAAGGACTTTTGTAGAATTAACCTATATATATATATATATATATATATATATATATATATATATATATATATATATATATATACTCTAATAAATAAATAAATAATTTGTCACATGTCACACTCTCATTTATTTTGTCACATGTCATTTTGTGGTTATTTAAATTTATTTATTTTTCCACATGTCATTTTATGGTTTTTTCCATTTTATTAAATTTTATAGTAATAAATGTAACAATAAATGGATATCAATTTCATTAATGCAACTTTCTTTCTAATTTCAAAATTTTAAATTAAAATCCAATTATTTACCAAAGGGTCTTTGGCCTAGCGGTAATGAGTGACTCTCTCAAATGAGAGGTCATAGGTTCAAGTCTCACTAGGAGACATAGGTGGTGTTTAGGATTAGATTAGGAGTAGGATAGTTTGCCGTTTAAAAAAAATAAAAATAAAAAAATAAAAAAAATCCAATTATTTCTTTAGTTTATTTGTTTAACTTTAAAACTGAAATGGACACTTTAATTTCAATATTTCAATAATTTTTTTGTTTTCTTTATAAATTCAAACTCCTAAATTTGTAGACTTTTATATTTAACATTTTTTAATAAACCTGTATAATATACGGGTTTCACAATTAGTATATATATATATATATATATATATATATATATATATATATATATAT